GGCCCATTATGTACCCGCGTAGAGAACGGGCAGAGGTGAACAGCCTCCGTTGTGGTAGCCGGTTGATTCCTCGCTTAAGCAGATATGATTGAGGACCGCCATAGAGACGATCAATGAGCTACTAAGTATAGTCAGCCGGTGGAGGCGAACGTTCAATCAGGCCGCGGCGCGCTACAAGGCCTCCTACACCGAAACACTTTAATTCGATCGAACCTCGAGCTACGCGCATGCACGGGCCCCGGTTCGCGGTAGCTTGGGACTTCATGCTTCGCTAAACGGCGGCCAGCCGAGTTGCTCGGCCTCCTCCTGACGGTCCACCGATTCCTCTGGCACACGGTGAAACCACGGCGACGATGACATAGCGAAACAACCTCTCGCATTGGCAGCCTTATCTCGCTGAGCGGGGCCCGCGAGATAGCGCGTGACAGGAACGCGTCCGGTGATCGAACGGAGCGCCGCGAGATGTCGCGCCGATCGTTTTTCGATCCCAGGCGGATGGAAAGCCGCCGTTCGGCATGCTCTATCGGAAGAATAATGACGCGAGCGGGAAACATAGTTGGTACAGGTAGTAAACACGAGACACCGGACACCGTGATTTCTTCATCGACGCGGTTGACTTCGGTTCACTCAAGGGGTTAATGACTTTGCTCAATTGCATCGTAGAGAGTTGGAGAAAGTTATGCAGCTCCTATCAGAAATTTTGGGGGCTCATAACAAAACATAGACTTAGCCAAAGAGTGACTAAGGCTGTATTCGAGGATAGATTAGAATATTTCACCACCTTTCGATGATGACTATAGACTGGCTACTTGGGCTTGGTAGTTCTACCGACATTAAAGTGACTATTAAAGTGATTAGTGACTACTAAAGTGATCTTAGTGACTTTGATATTAAGCGAATGATTCATATTGAAAGCAGGACTAGATACTAATCCTAATTGAACAATGACTACTGATAATGACAATACCAACGAATGAAGTTAATTGACAATACTATGACCAACATTATCAATTGTATCTAAGAATCCTTTAAAGGGCTAAAATAGAACTCGACACTACCGATGACTATAGTCAGCCAATGTCTGACACTAGTGGAGTACTAAAGATGATTATAGTCCCTCAACGTCCGATTCTCGCGAGGCAATGACTATAGTCAGTCAGCGACTGACGGTTTTGCAATTTCCATAGTGGCGCCACCGTCGCAAAAGGGGTTAAAACTCATAGCTGACGAAAAGACCATCACCAGAAGATGCTAAATTTCCAGGACCCGTGAAATATCGACCTTAAAATCGTGAAAGGAAAATTCGCAATTAAAATTTGGCACGTTGGACCATTCCAAAAATTCGAGGTTACGCAAAGATGGTTAAAACTCGTGGAACGTCTCGGAATTCCATAGGATCGTGGGCGGTTGGTTGACGGCAGGCACGCTCGGTGATTTGCGTGCTGAAGCGAGGACGAGCGGCGCGCGCGCGAGCGAGTGGGCCGCGCGGGAAGCCGTACGGGCACAATGGGCCTTACGCTAATGAAACGCGACGGCCGGCGCGAAGTCACGTCCGATCCTATGGCGTTAGACGGACGAGCCGCGACGCAGCTTCTTCCACGATGACAGTGGGACTGACATACGGACGGCTCGCGACCGGTTCCCTTGTCGCGACCGTCCGGCCCTTCAAAGACGTTCTTCGACGCTCCGCGCCGCCATTTTTGGCAGTCATCCGCGGATTACTCGCGTATATAAAAGACGCTGCACTCTGGGATCGCGTTCTGGGTACCCCGGGGCTGGTGTGCATCGTGGAAAGACGTATATTTCCCATATTCCAAATACCACCAAAAATTCGCAAAATTATTTGAAGAGACGCCATTATACTATCCCAGTTTCTCTCAAAAAATCATACCACTACGTCCACAACCCTGCGAATGCTAATAACGTTCTTTCTATGCACAGAGAAGCTGTGTCCCATAAAAAAAAAAAAAAGGAAGATGCACATAGATAAACTATAATATATCTATTTCTATATCTGAGATATCAACAAAAATTCGCAAAATCGCGGACATATAAGATACCACCATGCTCCAATTGCTTTCAAAAACCCGAAATCGAAAAATCGTATCGTCCCGTCCATGACAGTCAGAATGTCAGTAACGCGAGGAATCCCTTTCGTCGTAGAATTAAACGCGGAAAGCCCGCGCGATTCCCGTTCACCTACGCGGCCAGCCATGTTACGTAAGCCGTGGCACGAGCGGAGACAAATACCATAAGTCAGCGTTACCGCGGCGCAAACACGCCGCTAATGGCACGTCGGGCCAGTGGGTGGCGCAGGGGTTTTCGGCGCTGCGCAAACCTGTCGGCGGCGTCACCAAAGGCACCGGAAGACGCGACGCGTGGGAGGACACGCGAAAAGAGATCGGCCGAGTCACGGAACCTCACGACCGACGCCTCGTTTTATTCCCCGAAAGATCCGCCGACAATTTGCGGGTTCGACGGCTGCAGCGAGCCCTTCGCGGGGTTCATTGCCTGGGTTTATTGGAGTTTATGGGACGTTGATGGGCTCGATGAGGGAAGTTATGGTATCGGGGATGTTGGTCTTTTGTTGGAGAGTCGGTTCCGATCGGGTTCCACTGCGAGATACGGTGGGTGCTGTGCATGGTTTATTGGGCGTGGAAATGGAGAGTGATGTGTTGTACATGGAAATGTAATACGAGGTTTTAATACGGGGTGCATGTAGTACTGTCAGTCAGACGACATGGTGTATGAAAAATGAAAGAAGAAATTTGAAAATGTGAAATTTAGGAGATCTTGAAAAATATTAGAGGTGGGATTTTTAATAAAAAGTTTGGAAACAAAGTTTAGATTCGACATTGTTAATGTTGGAGACAGGTGCCGAATAAATCTACGATGTGGTCGATCCATGATATAAAATTGTAAGGGTGGGTTCCTAGTTTAACAAAGTTTCAACTTTCAAGAGTCGAAACTTTTAATTTTTGATGATTATTATTTCTAAAACTTGCTATTATATTAACTCTTTCACGACTAAGAATTTTGTCACTTAACTCACTAGCGCCACCACGACCCGTATCTACGATAAACGTTTATCGTTGAACCATTTTCTAATTTTACTCGTATAATCTTCGATTTTCCTTCTTACCACGTTTCACAAATCTGTGAAAACTCGTGAAAGGGTGGATAAAAACGAAATAAAGTGGAAAATTAGAAACCCACCCTGAAGCCATAAAAATTATAAGTTTGTCTAGAATAAAAACAGTCTGTTTCAAAAATAAGCCATCAATTCACAGAGCGAATCTATAAAATGCTCTACTAATCTGCGATCAATCCACGGAGTAAATCTATAAAATGATCCAACGAATCCGCGATGCGAGGAGCGAGAAGTATTAACTTCTTGCACTCGCAGCTCTCTTTTGCTACAAGCATAACACAAATAAGCTAGTAAAAACTTTTTACCACGACATAAAAAGAAATCACACGTTAATTGACGTACAAAAGGAAACACAACAGCGGCTACAGTTGCTGCTCACTCGTCATTGCCGGTATGAAAACAAATCAGAAAGTCGCTCCTCGAGGCACACGAGTCCAAAAGATTAATATTATGACAATCCGTGGAGAGAAAAATACGCCTAACCTGAAAACCAAATCGAATATTAAAATCGCTCTTATCCCGACTGCATAGTCACGCAACTTACCCGTCCCATCTGCTGCTCTTCTGGCAAGAAGAATACAAGTAGATGAGATCGGAAATATTATTATACCAATCAAACTTGTCCTAGAAGTCCCTGCACAATGGCCAGGATTCGCCATTCATCCGCGATTCCAAGTACTCCATACCGCGAGACGAGTCGAGAGGTTACAAGTGTCATGCATAAAAGCACAGCCCCTGATACCACTCCGACACCGAGATGCAAGTTCAAGTATTATTCTTGCGTCATTGCTTGGAATAAACCTCGCGAGTGCACCGGGTCTGGCAATCGATTCGAGCTAACGATAACAACCGACGCTGTCATTCCTCGCGGCCAAGAGAATCGAGAGAAAATAAAACGCTAAACAGACGCGATACGGAAATAATCTCGCATAGCTGTCCCCAGAATCCTCCGCGAGCGCGTGCCATCTTCTAATCGAGCACCGTGACCCAGCGGGCCCCGAGAAGTCCCCTATCACCGAGCCACGTGTTTATCTTGGCGCGAGTGCGAAGGGAAACGCTGGCTCATCCGCCATCGTTGGCGCGAAAGACGATAAACGAGGCTCGAATCGAGATTTCCTCGGAGCGGACAATCGTCGCGAAGGCATGAATCGAGCCAATGTGGAAGCTCTTCAATGGCCGGCGTGACGCGAAGTAGCCACTTTACAGCCGAGGGCCGCCCACGCGCTGCTTCCGACAGAATTTCAAGTTCATCGAGGGCCTCGATAAATCATAAGAACGGGTCTGTATAAAGTTGTCGCGATAACCGACTCGTGGGCGCGACCTGGACTTTTCGCGAATCCGATACCTCGCGCTGCGGACAGGCAGAGTAGGTGAGGCCCGTGGGACGACGGAGTCTAGGGACTTGGACTTGGCGGTTGAGATTTAGGTCTCGCGCGAGTGCAACTGAATCGGCGATTCGGGTCGTAATCGGGGTCGTTACGTTATTCTTCCGTTCGTTCGCTGTGCTGCTCGAAAGCGGTCGGAATGGACCAATTAAAAGAAAAAACTGGGCCTGCTAACGAGCAGGTACGAGAAGCGAGGAAGAATTGTCCGGCAACGAAATAACTCCGGCAACCCTAACATTACAGCGCGTATAACGGTAATAAAAGGAGCCCCGTGTTCGCGGCTCATTACTGAATTAAACGACCGTTTTAGTGCCCTTAATCAAGTACCATCGCGGCTCGTTAGTTACGCTCAAGACGCGTACACGCTCGATCAGAGGTACGCTAGACGTGGAAGAAGCTTGCAAAATTGGCAAGTGGAAGTTTAGCTATAGCCTAAGTCTAGATATCGATCAAGGTTCACTCACCGAATCCCATCCGCACCTCTTCCTCGTCGTCGCTGTCGATGTGCTTGATCCCAGCAATCTCGAAGCTCCTCGTCGACTGTTCCTTCCTCGTCTTCGCCGAGGACGAACAATCGCAAACATCCTCGCCTGCGACGCAGCCGCAGTCCTCTCCGGCGCACCTGCAGCCCAGCAGAGGGTCGTCGGTGTCTATGTTCCTGCACGCCGGACAGGGGAACGTCAGGTCGTCCAAGGAGACCCTCTCAATCTTCCTCTCTACGGAGACCAACAGGTTGCCGATAAACGCCGGCAACTCGTCGTCTCCGACGTCATCCAAATTCCTCAGGCTCTGCAGCCTGTTCTCCAGGTCGTTCGCGAGACTCCCCTCCTGCTTCTGCTCCAGCACAGCCTCGTCCAGCCGCAGAGGAGTCTTCAGGTCGTCCGGAGCCAGTGCTTTGCTCCTGGTCTCGCACCTGGTCGTCTCTTTCCACTTCTCCATGGTCATCGACGAGACGACCTTGGCGCACCTCTTCACTTTGGCGCGACACTCGTCGCTGGAAAGACTAGAAGAGTGGTTCGAGCTTGGCCGCGTCGACGTCCCGTTCGACTCGTCCAGCTCCGCCTTCCACGTGCCCACGCTCGACGTTGACCTGGACTTCATCACCGCGTGACCGGCGTCCACCTCGGCGTCGATGTCGCGCCCCTCGTTCGAGCTCTTGCACTCGAACCGGTCGATCGACCGCGTCTCCTCGCGGCGGTGCTCGAACGCGCAGCCCTGATCGCGTGTCCTCGAGCGAGCCTCCTCGCGCGAACGTCGCCTGGGCCGCATGCTCTTCGCGGTACTCGACGATTGCGGCCCAGCAAGGCTGTTGCCCGCCGCGCCGGTGCTCCCCTGCCCCTTGCGAGACACCTCCCGCCAGTCCATGAACTCCTCCTCGCGGTCCCAGCCGAGGAACCCTGGGGCCCTCATCGACGTCGTTCGCCAAACTACTGCGATCTGTGCCGAGAATCGATATATGACTTTCGTATACCGAACGGAAACGTCGCGTGACGAGCCAAGGTCGAATGTATCGTGGAAAGGATAGTAGGAAGATCGCCGCCAGTGGTGGGGAGGATAGGCTCCGGGGAGTGGGGGCAATCTATATTACACAGTGTCAGGCTGTAATTCTGGGCTATTGAAAACATCTGGGGCTTCGAAAAATCGGTGACAAGCGTGATTCAAAATTATATTCACTAAATAAAGATGGCGGCATATACAATGGTATGAGTCAACTGCCTGGTTTAACCCCGTAACGAAATATCAACTAACTTTCTTCCTGAATTTGTTCCTTGTAATATATAATAACGTGTTCCTTCTTCTTCTATTAAATTTAACATTGCATCTCATGTTCTGAATATAGCAAATGAGAAAATGAGGAAAATAGGATATTTCATTGACATAAATATAATCTATAGTACAGGGTGACCACTGAAGGCTTTGAAAAATTCGTAACTTCTTAATTTTCTTTTTCTATAGATTATGAAGTATCCCTTGCAGATTAAAAATTAAACGAAAGTTACATAAAAGTTACTGTATACAATCGGTGTTTGATACTAGTCAATATTATGAATCCGTATCTATCACTACTCAAATCAGACTAGGACCTGAGAGTTAAGGGGTTAACCTTACTACCCTTTTCGGGACATTCTGGCCTAAATGAAACCCCTAGGCACACCTATTTCCACGAGACATTTCAAATACACTTTTACCCAATTTGTCGTACCTAAACTTCACGATTAATATTTTCCAAACTTTCATATTAACGAATGACAGTTCAGAATGAACAGCCACGTCCGTAACCTAGCGATACAAGCTCCCATAAAAATTCCCCAGAACCGCAGTCCCATGTGAAACACGTGTCCGGGAAGAAATAAAAACAGCTGGATAAGATCGGCGCTGCGATTTATAATGGCGGAGACGAGCGTCGCGTGACATTCTTTGGCAAGTCCACACGTCGATTAATCCGCGGATGAAATCGGAAAAGAGACAACGGAACGTGACTCACCTCGACGGTATTCCGCTCGACGGTTTCACCAGCGGCAGCTTCGCCGCTCCCCGAGGTGGTTGCAACTGCAGCTGCGCTGCGTATGCAGAGGTAACATTCCCCGAGACGTAGTGCGGAGGCTTCTAGCTCTCCTAGCTGCAGGACGAGGCCACGTCTGCCTAACGTCAGAGGCCAGCCTTCCGGTATCACCGACTCGTTCCCCTGTAACGGAACCAAGCTCGTTATCATGAAGATTCCCAAACCTCAGAGTTAGCCCGCCTACTGCAAATTCAAATTCCCAAACAAACGCACCCCTATCCACCCCCAAAAAATCTGAAATTAATCCTCCCATTAATAAACGTCCCTAAATTCATCGGACCACCGCAGAAAATCAGAAAATCCCGAAAAAGAGGCAGTGACGATGTTCTATGCGTCGAAAAAGAGCACTCACCCACGCAACGGTTATAATAAATTACCGTGGCGATATTTATTTACCCTATAATTTGTCAAAACATAAAACACCCACAAACGTGTTCCAATTACCCCCACACACGCGGCGAAAAAGGCCCACGGTGGTTTACGAGGGTCGTAAACGCGCGAAACAGTGATTCTCGGCCCCCTCGGTTTCCCACGTCAATTCGATGATGGTTGGCGCGCCGAGGGGCGACGAAAAGGGCCCGGACGATCGGGGCGATTAATTAAAAGCAAGCCGGAAGCTCCGCGGCTAATGAAATTCCTCTAAACAAGTTACACGCGAAAGGGAGGGTAATTGCGGCCCGAGAAAGGGGACGTTAATCACTGCTGATTAGAGGGTAATCAACGCTGCGCGCGGGTACGCCCTCAAAATTCAGCAGACGTGCTTGCGCCGCTCTCCCGTTCCTGTCCAAAGAGAATGCGAATGGATTTTCGTTGGATTAGGATTACCACTGTTCTCTAGGAAACAATAAAAAACACGCAGTAGACGTTGGGCCTTGCACGATAGAATTTTGGTATCGAACTGATGCACTGTGCCAATAATGGTGTACCAAAAGTATGGTTTTTTAAAAATATGTTTCTCCGATAATTAATTAGGACTGTGATTCATGGTATAGTACCTTTTTTTGAACATTACTATGTGGCTTTAAATCTGCAGAACTCGTAATTAACTGCACGGTAAATTATGGTAAATGATACCATGAAATCTATCCAGTATATACTCTTAAATTAAATCACGTTTCAAATTTATTTTTTCGATATGTGTATATATAAATTTTTTTTTTTTAGTTATAACTATTTGAATATTATAAAATTTTATTATACTTTTTCATTAGGAGTGCGGCGCCATCCGGTGTTTATTTTTATGGGATTTTGAAGCGAAGCTCGAAGTCTGTTTATTTTATTCCGATCTTTCTTGTACGCGATCCAAAAATAAATATCTATCACGTTAATGCGATACCGTGACTTATAAAATACTATGATTATCAATTTAATCGGTGTAATTTAACACTAGATTTACCGAGCTATAATGTGTACTGCAACTGTAGCGTAGTTATAATAATAATAATAAAGATTGTGTGATGAAGTAAAGATAACGCTAATTTAGCTAAAAATAATTCCATGTTCGCAATAAATGAAAGGCAAAAAATTCGAAATCTAGTAATTCTAGTGTTAAACTTGGTATCCTGTTAGAGTCAGAGTCAACTGCGTTCTGATATCTTATAATTAGGAGGTATACGTGTACACTAGTGCCCGGTTTGGAAATCCTGTTTGGACACTTATCCGGGTATCTAAATTTCGCTATATCCACAACAAATTAGTGTCAATGGTATTTCATGAGAATGGTTGACAATTCTGAACAGCCATTTCACAATTTTTTCGCCCAAATGACTAACCTAGGACAAGGGATCAATATCCTACTTCAATTTAATTCAACCATAAATTATTATATTACCCTAAATCCGACTGCTACTATGTCTGATTACAATCTTACGAATTACTCGATTCTGTGATATTTTGTACATCAAAGGGTATTTAAAAATGTCGAAAAGTTCGAACTCACCGATTACCAACTTGTTCCCTATTTCAGGCTACTGTCCGACTGCCCTAACTTACACAGAGTGACAGGTAAGCGGTCAATTTGAGAGCAATTAACTTTCCACTGATTAAGACACGAGGTGTTGCACAATTCAAAATGGTAGCAGGTGGATCAAGTGCGACGAAGAATTCGGTGGTCCAAGGTGATCCCTTGGGATCTTGGCCAGAATGATCGAAACGCAGTAGCAATCGTAAACGGGGTCAGGCAGAACAAGTGCCCACGTAAGCACGTTTCGTTATTTCCTTATCGAGACTTCGGCTTAAGGACTTTCGTGTAATATCTACCACGGACCCGTCACGGTTTCCACTAACCGCTTAATAAAACCTGCTTTACCTGATTTCGTATCAGTAACAGTTGCAATCCGCTCTTTGCCGCGTCCCTCCGACCCCGGAGACACGATCTCCGCCGAATCTCGCGAAATACCCGACTGGTAAAAAGCTCCAGCACTTTCCACAGTCAATTCGCAAATTGTGTCGATTCTTTATAGGCGCGAGTAAGTTATATTCCCGCCAATATTGGAGGAACACGGGGGTATTTGCATACAGGTTGCTGGAGATAAGGATTCGAGATGTCTTCAGTAAACGTGTAAACAAATTTTTAGATTTGACATTGGGAGGATCCATTTTTGGATATGTATTAAGTACACATTTTTCACGCCTGTTATAGCAAGTGTTATCATAATTTTTTCATATGGGTGAATGTCCAGTCTAATTGGATAGAGATTGGAGAAATCTTTTTAAGAATTTCTGATGCTTTTGAGGAATTTTTATATATTATTAGCTTGGAATTATAAAAATACAAGCCAAAAAATTTACAATTGTAAAATATTGAGAATTTTATATATTGTCATCAATAAATTTTATGGTTCACAAGGATCTCACTGGAATCCCCCCAGTATCAGTGAGAACATCAGCTAGAAATCGTTATTAACCCTTTGCACTCGACGATTTTTTGGCTAGAGAAGAGTAGAAATTCCAAGATTCTGTACTAAAAAACTGACAATACTTTTTTGAGCCAGAGAATGATTTTTTATTTTTTTGAGAATACTTTTTTGAGGGAAAGAATTGTACAATAATAGAATTGTAGAATTAATTGATTTCTATACCTCGTACATTGTCACATTACATTAAATTTGATATATTAATTAATATTGATCTTTCAAATTTTATGAAATGGTGACTGAAGGTCACCTCTCGAGTGACTTGGAGATCTGTACCTTTATACCATTTGGTTATAATAAATTCAAATTAGTAGAAGTTAAATGAACGATTTTTGACAAAATTATTAAAGCGTGGAACGCATAGCCTTGATTATCTGTATCGTGAAGGTATACTGATGAAAAATTTCAGCTGGAAAGGGCAAAGCCACTCCAGGAACCGCGTGTTTCGCCTACGTGCATCGATGAGCGTGTAAGCAATTAGACTGTGCAACAGAGGAATAAAAGCAACCGGTAGAATGCTCACACCTTGCCAGCATAGCAACCGGTGGAAACTGAACGACACGAAGACACCGTCAAACTATGCGATATTTTGCTATCCTTCGCGAAAATCCTCGGAATAGTTGAACGTAAAACGAATCCATAGGAATTCTCTAAAAATTGTTAGAACCAGAAAAAAGGTCTTCTCACCTATATTTCAAAGTATTTCAAAGTGTACGTTCTAATTAGTCTAATTGTCCTAACAGAGCTATGCGAGTTGTTGCCATTTTTAACAAAAGACCGCTAAAAAAGTGAACTCGACATAGAAGAAGAATGGCATCCATCTTTGGAAATTATTTGAACGAAGATTGCCTCGTTTCTGACACTTCTAAGTGTTTCAAAATCCACCGTCTAATTAGTCTAATTGGTCTAATATGATTATGCCACCTTTCGCCATTTTTAACAAAGAACTCCTGGAACACTGGATCCCAAGTAGAAGAACCCTATTTCTGAAAATTCCAATCTCAAAGATTACCTTGTTTCCGGTACCTGCAAATATTTCAAAGTGTGAAATGGAATTAGTCCGATTAGGCCAATAGAGTATTTATTTACCATCCTTCATATTCGTCTCCTAAAAACCTAGAGTCAACATATTGAGAAGAACTGCCTATTTCAGGAAACGACCCAAACCCTAAATTCCCAAACCTGATTCTGTTTCGAAACCTTTAGTCAGCCTGGTCCATCTTCCTCCAGATATAAATTATAAATTCCACCATCCTTAATTGGGCAATATAAATTAGTAAAAATCGTTGATCAAACCTCAGCAGGCTACCAGACATAACCACGATAGAATTCCGAGTCTACGCCAATGGGAAATCTCGTTACCGAGCTGGAAGTAGCCAAGTAACTAGACCCGACGGCAGCGCCAACGCCACCTGGTGACCGAGCGACTTCAAATCGCAGCCGCGTGCCCATCAATAACGCGGCACCTAGTAGACACGTTATCTCCGAATCGGCCGAGGCATTTAGAAATTCATTACGCCCATTAATTCGCCATATACTCGCGCCGTGCACGTCGAACGTTTCCATCGTGGTCCATTGTGTCCGCAATGGCGGGGCCCGGCGTCGATACCGACCGCTTTTTCCCAGGCGCCATAAATCACAAAGATAATAAAGTCGCGGAGGCGGCCGCAAAAATCGCGCGAATCGCCCGGTTGACAGTCGAATTCCAGTGAGCACGCAGCGATACCGATCGCGAAAAACCGTTTCCCACGCGGCGCTCGCCGCTCGCTGATCATATGCCAGGCTTGCGCAATCGCGGCGGGAATGCGGCTTAATTAAGTCGGGAACGCGAGCGCGTGTCGCGTGCCGCGAGCTGCGGTTTCTTTGCGTGCTCGAACAGTAGCGACGATCGCCAGCAACCAGCCCGCACCGTGGCGCGCCGATCGCGGCCGCCATTGGCTGAAGTGGAGTAGAGGTTAGGTCAAGCGCTTGCGCGTGGATATCCATTCTTTGTGCCGAGAAATTGAATTTGGTAATGATCTTCTTCCGTTTTTTGACTTTGTAGTAGGTGGATTTTTACTTTTGATGTACCATTATGTCAGAAAACATACGCAAATGACCTAACGTCGTGAGAACATTGTATCTTGTCCACGTACGATCAAGTACGATTCATTGTGAGAATACCTTAAAATATTTCCCTCCTCTTTTGACACTAGACCTACTAATTTT